TCGCAGTTTGTTGTGTATGGGGCCGCATACCGGTCAGGGTGCCTGCGCTGATCCGTGTCCACCATCAAAAGAGCCTATAATGGGCATGTGAGCATCAAAACTGGACCATCGAGCAATTGAAGAAGGTGACCTGGTCTAATGAATTACGTTTTCTTTTACATCATGTGGATGGGTGAGTGTGTATCACTTACCTGGGGAAGAGATGGCACCAGGATGCACTATGGGAAGAAGACAAGCCAGTGAAGGCAATGTGATATTTTGGGCAATGTTCTGCTGGGGAACCTCGGGTCCTGCCCTTCATGTGAATGTTACTTTGACACGTACCACTGACCTAAACATTGTTGCTGACCAAGTACACCCCTTCATGGAAACGGTATATAACTGGAAATGGCCAATAATTCAAGAATGGTTTGAGGAATACAACAACGAGTTTGAGGTGTTGACTTGTCCTCCAAATTCTCCAGATCTCAATCCAATTGATACCGGAAGTCCCATTAAGGAAGACGGGCGGCGTGCAGTGGCTCACGGCCCAGCTTCCTGATTAGTCGGAAAGCCTGCTCCATGCTCCCTACTTACCGGGTGTCGAGGAAGCATGGAGCCGGCTGTCTGGCCAATCTGAAAGCCGGGGAGCAGGTAATGACTCGCTGCCCGGCCTCCTGATTGGCAAGCTTCCCCAATCATTCAGGAAGTCGGGCGGTGAGTCTTGACACGCCGCCTAGCTTCCTGATTGACCAGAAAGCCTGGTCCATGTTCCCTCGTCACCAAGTGACGAGGAAGCATGAAGCCGGCGTTCTGGCCAACAATGAAGCCGGGGGGCGGGTAATGACTCGCCACCGGGTTTCCTGATTGGCCAGCTTCCTGACCAATCAAGAAGCCGTGTGGCAAGTCATGACACGCCGCCCAGCTTCCTGATTGGCCTGGAAGCCAGATCCATGCTTCCTCCTCACTTTCTGGTCAATAAGGAAGCCGGGGGCTGGTAATGACTCGCCGCCCGGCTTCCTGATACTAGAAGTTCCGGTATCGGGAGAAGCATACTAGTATAGGTGCATCTCTAATAGCTATTACGAGTTTGCAAGGCCAGATTTCCCACAAGGCCAACCAAGGCCCGGTCTCTGGGCAGCAGGGAGTAGAGGGGCAGCAAGGGTGTGGAATTCCTATCTCCTGATGCCCGCTACATGCAGTTCAGATTGCCGGGCGGGTAGTTGTTTTCTACATTTAGCCCTGCTGGGCAAGCAGAACTAAATGTACAGCGGGGAAGCAGCCGCTTGTTTTGTACAAGTGACCTTAGTAAATCCGGCCCTGCTGACAGGTCCTCTTGGATCATAGCAGTAGTCACTACTGCAGCTCCCAGTCTATAATAATAACATGGAGCACCCATCCCCCAATGACGCCCACGAAATCAGACAGACAGAAGTCGGGCAGAGTTGTGGAGACAGACGTTTAATATAAAGGTATCTCTGTCGCACATTATAATGATTATAAAGTGCTTCTCTGTAAACGTACAATAATAATCAAAAATATCATACAATAGAAAAAGTTTAATCGTCCCCAACAAAAAAAAATACCCCACAAACCCAAATCAAAACGCACGCTGAAATCCTACGCTAAAATCGGATTCAGAATCATGAAAATAACATTTAAAACATTTTTTTTTTGACCAGTGAATCTTCAGACGTGAAATGAAAAAACGAGAGAAATAAGACAAATTTTGGCATTTTGGACCCGGTAGAGGCGACGAATACTCGCAGACGTGGCAGATATGGCTTCAGACTCTCTTAGGCACGTTGAATAGTGAATAGAAATCGCATGGAAAAAAAAACACTTTATTAAAGGGGAACATGAAATACAGGAGAGAAGGGAGGTCGGCACGTTACCACTGGCCATACACATTGTATCTTTATTTAAGCCCTGATGAAGGGGGTGGAGCTACAGCCCCCAAACGCGTTGGCTTTGTACACTGTTTTAATGGAAAAAACTTGTATCTGGACTTGAATATCAAGGCGTGGCGCTAGAACCCCCCATGAAAGGAAAAAGGGGGGCTGACCTCATTCTAAAAATGCCACTTGCCGAACCATTGGCCTTATTACTTTGCGAGTGACTGACCCCAAGATATGTATGCAGGTCAGGGAAGATGGAGTGAAGTCAGAGGGCCTGATCCGCATTTTGGTTCCAAGTCAGAGTTTTGAAGAAAGAAGTTCGGTATGGCAGCCAGGAAGCTAGCATTTTCAGGTATAAAGGTCAGCCCTGGCAGACACTGTCATGGCAAGATGGGGAGCACTGTACCCTTTTAAAGGGATTAGATTAAACAGATGCCCTGCGCTAATCAATAATCATAATACGTGAATATTAGAGTGCTAGGTATCAAATAGATCCCCTATAACCAATATAATCGATGAATCTATTTATACGATTAGCACGGCAGCTTTTCATCTTTTATATTTTTATTTATCCCTTAGCGCAGAGTTTTTATATTTATCACCTTTTTAAAGGGAACTTGTCATGCTCAGCTCAGCGATGTTCCTGTAATGGAATTGGCAATAATGACTTGGGCAATGATTCTGCTGTCACTCTAATAGATGTTTAATCAACATGGTCTCAATGGACTTGGTCTCTAAGTGGGCTTGCTGGGGTGGCTTGTACATCCACAGTCATGGTTGGCCATCTCAGTCGCCATCTACCATAGTGCTGGGGGTAGATCTGCTCCCAGGCCCTCCAGCAAATTGGGATAGAGGAGTGGTGGTCAACTTACTAGGTGCTTAGGGCCTCAAATGTGGAACCTGAAACCTCCGGGAGGCACGGATAATATTCTGGATATGTAGTGCTACAGAAGATTGTTAGAGACTGCTAATATACTGCTGGAGATGGTCAGATCCTGGGGACTTGCTATAGGAGTGGGTAAAGGCTGGAGATATGCTGCAGGAGACCCTGGGGGCATGCTGCAGGAGACCCTTAGAGCCCGGGGACCCTGAGAGACTGGGGACATGCTCTAGGAGTGGTTGAAGGCTGGAGATATGCTGCAGGAGACCCTGGGGACATGCTGCAAGAGTCCCTTAGAGCCTGGGGACCCTGAGAGACTGGGGACATGCTCTAGGAGTGGTTGAAGGCTGGAGATGTACTGCAGGAGATCCTTAGAGACTGGGAACTTGCTATAGGAGTGGTTGAAGGCTGACGTTATGCTGCAGAAGACCCTTAGAGACTGGGGACATGCTCTAGGAATGGTTAAAAGTTGTAGATATGCTGCAGAAAATCCTTAGAGCCTGGGGACATGCTATAGGAGTGGTTGAAGACTGGAAATATGCTGCAGGAGACCCTTAAAGCCTGGGGACTTGGTATAGGAGTGTTTAAAGGCTGGAGATATGCTGCACAAGACCCTTAGAGCCTGAGGACATGTTATAGGAGTGATTAAAGGCAAGAGATGTAACTGCAGGAGACCCTTAGAGACTGGGGTCATGATCTAGGAATGGTTAAAAGCAGAAGATATGCTGCAGGAGACCCTTAGAGCCTCGGGACATGCTGTAGGAGTGGTTGAAGGCTGGAGATATGCTGCAGGAAACCCCTTGAGACAAGGAACATGTTACATGAGACTTGTAGAGGTCATGGTCATAATAGCACCTGGCTGCTGGGGTCCAAGAGTCGAGGACCATAGACAGAGGCTCTCATTGTGAGGAAAGCCACAATCTCTACACATGGGTCCTGGTGTTTGAGGAAAGCTTCTCATCAGGACCTAAACAACCAACAAAACCCTCCCTTAGAATTAAAAGGAAGAACAATATATATATATATATTTGTCTGGCACCAGTAAATCCTAATCATGTCTATTCATTGGTATAACATGACAATGGGGTTATAGTTTTGGCGAAGCATGCTACGGTATGTAACATTCATATAAGTATTTGATTATGAGAATACGTACACAATGACACATTTATCCAGGCAAATTGGTCCAGAGAAAAGGAAGAGATCTGTGATTGGTCACATCAAAAAGGGCAGATTATTCATTTTCCCATAACCGCCTGGTATCACATTGAAGGTACAGCTCCAGCTAAGTGAACCAGGTTTTTTCTTTAAGTGCCAGCAAGACTAACTGGCCGGTGGTTTTACCCAATTGGCCAACCATGAGACCTTGGAGATCCAGCATATTGGCATGATCATGAGTGAATTAAGTCTTTAGCACATGCATGTGGCCAAATAGACTACCAATGTGGTATGTCTAATCTTTTCATGTGTTAGTCTGACATTACATGCATGAATTGGGCCGCCCGTAGGCAACTCTGACTCATACAAAGGCACTCTGATCTTAAAACAACCTGGATGTACAATTTGGGTGCTGTGCAGGAAACCTAAGAGAAGGATGCACTAAAGCATGGATAGGAAAGCTCAGCACTCCAGCTGTTCTAGAACTACAAGTCCAATGAGGCATTGCAAGATTCTAACAGCCACAGGCATGACTCCCAGAGGCAGAGGCATGACGGGACTTGGAGTTCCCCCAGAGCTGCAGTGCCAAGGTTGCCTATCCCTGCATTATATGTTCATCTTCTTCACCCAGACAAAAGTAAATTTTCCTTAGAAAGAAGCCAAAGTAGAACAGCCTGTCCACTGCCAGCTGCTGCAGAAAAGGACCCTTGCTCTCAGCAGGGAATCCAGCACACCCCCTACACCCGCTAGAGCTGTAGCTTTCCAATCAGCAAAGCTCACGCTCCCTTCTGATTTGGAGATCTCTAGCTCGGACTCAGCAGGGGGCATGTCATCCCTCTGAAGAGAGACCATTGCTTCTCCACAGAGATCAAGGGTCTTCCTCTGCAGCATGCTGGTAGGAGGCAGCCTTTTCTACACAGGTTGTGGCTGTTTTTTTTAAAGCAAACTGTAAAACTTTGCACACATTTTGTTTTGATGTGCCCAAAATGTTCATCTGGGCTTTAAAAGCGGCCTTCGGTGACACCTAGGAGTCCATAGAAAATGATTGGTTCCAACGGTATCCTAAAAGGGAAAAAAGCTTGTTAGCGATATGATCCGCACATAATGATTTGTTAATAGTGATAAATTCTTCCTAGAGTAGATACATCACGAAGTATAAATATTCAATGAAACCTAAATGGACGAGGACACAAGATATGGTGGCGTAGTCACCGATTACCATCACTGACTGCCATTCCCTGTAAGTGGATTTGATTTGGCTTTTGAAAAGCATAGGGCTGCATGCATCTCGCTGGATAGGTTTACCATGTGGCAATAGATAGAGAAGATCGGTGTTCAGCTCAGGAATTAGGCGGACACGAGCGGACACACCAAGACGTCCATCGTCTTTGAAGAGACTCAACTGTCCGGCAATCCTCGGGTTTCCAAAGGCACCCACTGCGGAGTTGGCTGTCCTGCGATTATGGCACGTGGCGGTTAGATGCCGGTGAGAGTGTTACAAGTGAACAGGACCAGCTGGATGGAGCCAGAGACCTGAGGATTGGATTTGTTACTCTTGTCCTGGAGGGGGAGGCTGTGCTGGGACTGCTGATTGTTGGCTTCTGCGGCGAGGACCACCTGACCCATGAATTCATCCTTCACCACGTTGTGGTTCCACACCTGGGAGGAAGAAAGGAATGGGAGAATCAAAGAAACGCAAGTGGTGAAAAACACCGGGGAGCGGGAGGTAATGTGGTATAAATTATTAAGCTGATCTTTACCTGCACAATAATAGGCTGTCCAGGTTTCTTCCGGTAGAACAAGCCTTTGACATCAAATTTGGGAGCCAAGTTGTCCTTTATGACTGGAGACTGGACCTTGGTCCCTTCACAGCTAATGATGACATAAGGATCAGCCCCTTAAAAAAGGAAAGACGTACAGAGCATTATTTTCTTGCAGATCCAAGTTGGGAACACTTTTCATTATCTTAACAAGTCAAACTGACCCCAGCAAGTGTAGGACTGGTGAGGTTAGTAGCACGATAACGCTGTGTTAGGACTAGGGATGAACCAATTCCGGTATCGAGTACTGATATTTTTTTCCGGTGCTCGCTGATACCGAGTACTGGTGCCGTGTGCCCCGATACCGGAAGTCCCATTAAGGAAGCCAGCCGGCGTGTAAAGACTCGCCACCCGGCTTCCCAATTACCAGGGAAGCCGTCCCCATGCTTCTCATCACTGGGTGATGAGAAAGCATGGAGCCAGCTTTCTGGCCAATCAGGAAGCCGGGAGCCGTGTAATGATGATAGCTTTCTGATTGGGTGGGAAGCCGGCTCCATGCTCCCTCGTCATGAGGTGACGAGGGAGCATGAAGCCGGCTTCCCAGCCAATCAGGAAGCCGGGCGCTGCATCATTACACGGTGCCCGGCTTCATGATTGGCCAGGTTCCCGGCCAATCAGGAGGTCGGGCAGCGAGTCACTACATGCTGCCTGGCTTCCTGATTGGCTGGGAAGTCGGCTCCATACTCCCTCGTCACAAGGGAGCATGGAGCCGGCTTCCCGGCCAATCAGGAAGCCGGGCAGCGTGTAAAGACTTGCTTCCCGATACCGGAAGTATCAGGCTAGGCATCGGAACATTTGGGCTAGTATGAGTACTCGCCCAAATACTCGGCAACTATACTAATATCGCAGTCGGTGCATCCCTAGTTAGGACAAAAGATATTCACATGCCTCCTTCCATCACATATCCCACAAATAAGAGGATTATTCCTCATTTCAGGACAGTGGGCAGAGCAAAGCAAATCATTCCTTTACGCCCCACCAGCACATCCAGACCCGCTGGTGTATAGTGCTATTGCAGCCTAATATTATAGAGCCAGTTATTCTAAACAGAATACAGTTGTTTCTTGTTTTCTTGAGCATCATCAGTGCAGTGTATGGAAACCACGGCTTCTGTGGAGTAGGGATGGGACCCAACAAGACAGTATAACCATAAAGGATATTGTAAGAAAGGAATAAAGGAATCAAAAAACCCTCCAACCAAATCAGTGCGTATCGCGGCAGAGCCTTCTGAGAACAGAAGGTATTTATAGGTCTCATTCCATCACATACAGTAGATGTGAAGATCGCTCACCAGCATTCCAAAATATTGTTTATTGCAAATAATGTTGCATCAAAATTGAGAACGTTTCGGGCCGTTTAGGGTCCCATACTAAAGGCGGCACATTGACCACTGGGGCACTGTGTCGCCTTGAGGAGGGAGGACTCAGGCAACATATAAGCACATCAAACTTAGAGTTGCAGTACACAAGCATCTTGTTACCTCCTTCAGAGTCTTGGTTTTTGAGTCCTGCAGCACTGACCACGTGCACCTGAGACACCACCTGTGGGAACCCGCACATCCCTGACCAGCAAGTTTTCCGCGGCTCATCTAGTGTCAGCTCACTAAACAGAGAACAATCAAATGGTTAATGTAACAACTAGAACAGCACTTTACATATCAGAGACATGTCCGTGAATCCCTACAGAGATAAGAGTATATACAGTATAAGCTCACAAGACAAACAGAAAGTGCTCTACCTTCTTCCTCCAACGCAGTTCCACGGAACACCAGCGCACAACCAAGGCTTCCACCCTCCCTTCATCATAAACAGTAGAAAAAAAGTGTGTGCACACGGTTCTGGGTCCAGTTAAAATCTTCTCCATCTATTTAAGGCACGAAATCAGACATAGCAGTATCAGCGGAGGCGTAACTAGGAATCACAGGGCCCCATAGCAAAATTTTGTATGGGGCCCTGTGATTTCTAGTTATGCCCCTTGCAGGGCCCACCTGAGATCCTGAACAGCCCACCTGAGAGTGACCCTGCAGAGCCCACCATAGACTCTCTATGGCGGGCTCTGCAGGGTCTCAGGTGGGCTGGTCACACAAATGCACACCTCTTACCTGTCAGCCCCGATCCGCTGTCCGCCTCCTCCATGGTCACTGGCGGGCCCTGCTTCCTCCTCCTCCGTCGCCGGGCCCCGCCTCCTCTGCTGCCAGTGCTGGGACCAGCCTCCTCCTCTGCAGCTGCTGGCTGTCATTGACTCAGCAGCGGCTGTAAGGAGGAACGCGCCACTGCACAGATTACTGACAGGTTGTCAGTGATCTGAACAGCGGCGCGTTTCTCCTCACAGCCGCCAGTGACAGCCAGCAGTCTGAGATGCCATAGCGACCCAGGTGGCCCGCACGGCATCAGGGGGACCCCTTTGTTCCTCGTCCTGGCCAGCGCCCCAGGCCCCATAGCGGCCATCTGGGTCGCTATGGTGATTTTTCTGCCACGGAGTCCCAGTAACGTGTTTCAGCCAAAAGAGGCCCTAATCATAGCTAGGCCATATATAGGATTAAAGCCTCCTTGGGCTGAAACGCGTTGGTGGAGCTGCTATATTTGGTAACATGCCTTGAATAAGTAAAGAGTATTTTAACTGGATCCAGAATTTCATGCAAACACTTTATTTTCTACTGTTTATAAGAGCATATATAGTCAATAACATAAAAATATATGAAATCACAGCTTATTGCCAACTTGACAATAAATCTGTGTCAGAAATGAACATAATTGATACCTGGGCAAATAAGGATGCGTCAAAAAGTATATAATAGCATATTACATATATTAGATCAATACCAACTGTGTGTAAACAAATTAGTCACAAGAACCCCCAAAAAGAATTAAAAATATAGATCTCTGATATTGTGGCTAACAAGCCCCTATGTGATAGCACAGATACAGTGACAGGTCCTCTTTATTGAGACACCAGGGGTCTATTAGACCTCTCATGTCGCCTATGGACCCCAAAGAAGCTGATTAGGCAGCAATCGTGCTTCACTGGCTTCTTCTCCGGCTACAGCAGCCGGAGAAATGACACACTGAAACTGGAAGTGATGCAATACAAATTACTTCCGCTTTCAGCGATCAGAATGGAGATCAGCCACTGGAAGTGTGCTGATCTCCTTTCCATCTAAGAGCAGAGACACACTGTGCCGATTCCCGGGGCCCGCACGGGGGGACAGCGGAGCTCAGGATAGCCAGCAGTGGAGGAGCGCACACTCCGAGGCACCATACAAGTGACCAGTCAGCTCTATAGCCACCCTAGCTCTGGTATGTAAACAACCATCACTGACTGTAACACATTTTTTCTACACTGTCAAGCTTGCAAAAAAAGCCATTTATTTACGGAAACCGGCTACCAGGAGCGAGCCTTCCAGCCATTTATATACAACAGGCAGACGGGCAAGCGGTTGATTACAGGTTTACATTTCCAAAAGCAAATATGGCAGTCTTAGAGACACGATCAGACCCTTAGGTGGCCTTTACATCAGATTTCTTATATTGTTAAACACAGAGGAACCCTTGAAATAACTTTCTGGTATCAGGGAACCCAAACAGCTAATAATAAATATATCTACTGTACATCTCAGGGTACATTAGCAGGAGCAGTTGTAGATATAAGAATAGGTAAAGGATAAGAAATGTGGTTTACTTTGCTTTTTTAACCCAAGGCTGCTTTACATGACAAAATGATATTGTAATGAAATGGATAATGATAACTGCAAGAAAAGTCAGCCAGTAAACACTGTAGTGTTCGATTAAACTGGAGGCCAGTGAGGTGCCCCCTTATATTGATGGTAAGTGAGGTGCCCCCTTATATTGATGGTCAGTGAAGTGCCCCCTTATACTTATATTGATGTTCAGTGAAGTGCCCCCTTATATTGATGTTCAGTGAAGTGCCCCTTACAACGATAGTCAGTGAAGTGCCCCCTTACAATGATGGTCAGTGAAGTGCCCCCTTATATTGATGGTCAGTGAAGTGCCCCCTTATATTGATGGTCAGTGAAGTGCCCCCTTATATTGATGGTCAGTGAAGTGCCCCCTTATATTGATGGTCAGTGAAGTGCCCCCTTATATTGATGGTCAGTGAAGTGCCCCCTTATATTGATGGTCAGTGAAGTGCCCCCTTATATTGATGGTCAGTGAAGTGCCCCCTTATATTGATGGTCAGTGAAGTGCCCCCTTATATTGATGGTCAGTGAAGTGCCCCCTTATATTGATGGTCAGTGAAGTGCCCCCTTATATTGATGGTCAGTGAAGTGCCCCCTTATATTGATGGTCAGTGAAGTGCCCCCTTATATTGATGGTCAGTGAAGTGCCCCCTTATATTGATGGTCAGTGAAGTGCCCCCTTATATTGATGGTCAGTGAAGTGCCCCCTTATATTGATGGTCAGTGAAGTGCCCCCTTATATTGATGGTCAGTGAAGTGCCCCCTTATATTGATGGTCAGTGAAGTGCCCCCTTATATTGATGGTCAGTGAAGTGCCCCCTTATATTGATGGTCAGTGAAGTGCCCCCTTATATTGATGGTCAGTGAAGTGCCCCCTTATATTGATGGTCAGTGAAGTGCCCCCTTATATTGATGTTCAGTGAAGTGCCCCTTACAACGATAGTCAGTGAAGTGCCCCCTTACAATGATGGTCAGTAAAGTGCCCCCTTACATTGATGGTCAACAAAGTGCCCCCTTACATGGATGGCCAGCGAAGTGCCCCCTTACATGGATGGTCAGCGAAGTGCCCCCTTACATTGATGGTCAGTTAAGTGCCCCATTACATTGATGGTCAGCGAAGTGCCCCCTTACATTGATGGTCAGCAAAGTGCCCCCTTACATTGATGGCCAGTAAAGTGCCCCCTTACATTGATGGTCAGTGAAGTGCCCCCTTATATTAATGGCCAGTGAAGTGCCTCCTTACATTGATGGTCAGTGAAGTGCCCCCTTACAATGATGGTCAGTGAAGTGCCCCCTTATATTGATGGCCAGTGAAGTGCCTACTTACATTGATGGTCAGTGAAGTGCCCCCTTACAATGATGGTCAGTGAAGTGCCCCCTTATATTGATGGTCAGTGAAGTGCCCCCTTATATTGATGGTCAGTGAAGTAGCGCCTTATATCA